AAGTCGAGGGATGGATGGTCTGGGGTTGGAGATGCAGTGTGGTTGGTACGTGTTTGCTGGTTGGGGATTGACAGCGAGATGTCTCGAACGGCTGGGTCGCATATGGATGTGGATGGGTCAAGTATTGAGAAAGGAAAGGGGTGGGAGGGTCACGGCAAAAGGAGAAAGAAACCCACATCGCACAGAGTACGGGATAGCATTGCTTAGGCGTTAGCGGACACTTCTCGCCTCACCCAAAAGATGAGAAAATCTGTCAGCCCAAAACTCAAAAAGACAAGACCACAGAGTGAGACGGTAGTGCCAGCTGGATGTCTATATTTGCCGTACCGTACACTAGAAGTGTTCGCCGGCGACACCGCGTACATCCCTGCGCACATGTGGCGTACCTGATGCTGCTTCGGGTCAGCGAGCCTTTCCCATCAGGGAGTAGCTTGGCAGAGATCCTGTGCAAGAATCCATGTTTGACGAATGGCGGCGCAGAGAACATTCGGCGTTTCCACCCACCGGCAATTGGGGCGAAGATTTCTGCGAGATTTCGTATGGCGGCTCGGCCAATAGGTCTTTTTACCTGACGTCGCTGAAACTAGGCATCCCTGCCACAAACACTTGCAGATGGGATGACTGTTGCTGTGGGTGTTCTGGGGTTGGCGTTGGTTGCTCCTGTTGGTTCAATTCTCTTTCTTTACGGTCCTGACAGTTGGGGGCTGCGAGTGAGAAGAGAGATCTGGCAGCGATCGACCCCCATCAAGTTATCCCACTATTGCCGTACACTACTGCGTACGTGTGCCGTATCCGTACCAACTCCCAACAGACAAGCGTCTTTCCTTAGCAAACCGCCTGATGATCGAACGGCGAACGGCAGCGTTCTTCCCCGCGTAGCCTCCCGCAGATACATCAACAATATTGCGGGACTTTAGGCGGGGATTGGCGCCAGAGTTCCAGCGATTGGTCCGTACCGTCTTTACGCAACGTTGAAGGTTCGTTGGTCTGGTCTCTGGTCTCTTGTCTGAGTCTCTGGCTGGGGCATGGTGGAGTGAGGAAACTTGGGATTTCGGGAAGAAGGTTGGGCGGGTGAGCGCCCCAGACTGAACGAGTTCCAGGTCCGCGAAACTCAAAAAAGCACTCGGGCGTATCACGCGCGTGCAGAATTTCGCTGAAATTAGGAGCTCCTCTCAACCATTCCCTAATCTTTCTGCCCAATTTTGTTCGGCGCGATCCCGGCCTCACCTGGATTCCTGGGTCATCATCGAGGCCCGACCAAGTCGACAGCTTCTCTCCCCACGGGGGCACTGTGGAACAGCAGGTCGAGTCTGGGGATTGGAACTTGTGGTGGACACAAGATCAAGCAAGCATCCGAGTGAACCAATAAATTCCCTTTCCCACCTGCCACGTTGTCGTCATTGCTCCATGTCGCTTGTGCGACATACCCCCCCGCAGCCTTTCGTGATCATCCCGAGTCTTGGCCCTCCAATCATCTCCAGATGTGGAAACCAAGCTTCACCGGATAGATCTTACACGTGCCTCGTATATCTATGGGCAGTCAGCAGCTGATCGAATCTCCTGCCCAAATCCATCGTATCTATGTGACACGACAGGATACATGATATATCTCGATTTCTTCAGGGCAATGCATAATGCGGCTCTGTCAGATCTATAGTCAGATCTTTAGACAGACAACCGCAAATCTAACCAACCCAGATTTTAAGGCGGATTAGGGCGAACTCACTATCGTGTCAATGAGAAGTGAACCTAGGAAATGACTAGCGATTGAGGCTGACGAAGGCTACCACACAAGACTGCCGACGGGAGTGACAGGGATGGCAGGAGTATCCCGCTGTACGATCCGGATAGGACCATCGCGAGTCACGAGTCACGGCTCCGTTCGATGTGCGCCGTAAGTGGAGCTATAATCGGGTTCGGACCTTAGCACATCGTTACCGCAGCATCAAAACGGGGCAGCACCAAGTGGCCGGGTCCGTCTCATCTCCACTGCTCCGATTATCACATGCTAGGCCCGCCGCCTGTCTTCCGAAGTTTTCGGAACCCTTGAGCCCGGACCCGTTCCCTGGCACACAAGCTCTGCTCCGCATCCGCAACGGAACCGGCGCAAAGAGTAGAATGCCCCGCCATCGGAGACTACAGCAGAGGGTGGCCAGCATAGGCATAGAAATAGCTAAGCCCATATTCCCGTCTGTTCCTGTCGCAACCTCCTCGCCCCTTAAGTACAAACTGTCTGAGGAAAGCCAATTTACCTTTACCATACGCACCCAAGATCATACTATTATCATATTGTTTTGGCTTGGCAGTATAGACGTGTGCCAGAAAACCACACAATGGCTTCATGACTTGGGGTGTGAGAATGAATATTAGAAGTTGAACGCCACAGCCATTTCAAGTACTAAGGTACGGGCAAGTCGGCCTGAGCAGGTTGCACTTCAGTCATGGGCACGGATGGAGCCTACTATGAGCCTGTCGCTGCAATGTTCCACGCTGCGCCATTGAGTGGATACTCCAGAGTTTTCAATAGTAGCAGGAAGTGTGAAAACCAGATTAACAAAAGTTCAATCATTTCGATTTTTATGAATGCCTACGATATACCAGCATCCGGTGTCGCTCTGTGCCGACTATCTAACTATCAACATCAAGACAAGGAGTGGTGAATCCGGCCGTTCTTCGTATTCGTGTCCATGGCTCTGAGAGCGGCACGGACAGGTCAGACCGGCGCTTTTCCTCAATAGGCTCGAAATATGGGTCTCTTTAAGACCAGCAATTTCATCAGGAAGCATGGCAAAGCGAGAAGATGCCTGCAGAAAAGACAGAACATCTCGAGAGGTATCCACAAATTTCAATCAAGATCCTCGATTGAGTGAAGACACGGATCTGCGGGAGCGAACGGGTTGTTGCATCATCTTCGTGATCCACCGTCTTTCCCATTTGGGCAGCGTCGACGAATCAGAGAGACTCCTAAGTAGTGCCCGAGGTGACGGTTCTGACATCCGCAGGGGGGGGGGGGGCAGAGAAGCGCATTCGTATTCGGATTTAACTCACATTAAAGAGCTTATCACGTATTCGTGTCTGGGATCTCAGCCTTCTTTACTTTGTAAGTGATAGAAGCAGTACGTTGAATTGATGGATGGAAGTAGCATTGAAGAGAAAAAAACATTTAAAAGCCAGAGAAGACGCTCTTGTTGAGAAGAAAGGACAACAACACCTCGAGAACTACGTCTTCCAATAAGTTCTGCCGGCTTCTCATCAGCTCTAGGCACCGCAAAAACAGTCGTTTCAACTCAATCACAAGTCACCATCATTTGCAAAATTCACCTCGTTTTTCATCACCATGGTTGGAACAATTCCAGAGGAAGGGCAGATGCTCTTAGCCAAAGATGCCACATTTGAGAAGATTCTTCACAAGGGAACGTCCAAAGATGTCGGCATGTCAGCGATGTTGAAGAAGGACTACGAGGCCCAGAAGGCTGCCACAGACGAGTATTTCAGTCATTGGGACAACAAGAGCGCACAAAAAGAAACCAAAGAAGACCGTGATGTACGTCAAAGATTGCTATCTAACTTCCACCCAACTTTGCCTAACTATTGGTGTCACACAGGCTCGTACAGCAGACTACGCTTCTCTTACCCGACAGTAGGCTCTCGAATCTCTCACCAAAAAGTAATTCGATGATCTAACTATTGGCTTTCCAGATACTACAATTTGGCGACCGATTTCTACGAGTATGGCTTCGGCCAGAGCTTCCATTTTGCTCGGCCTTCTGCGGGCGAATCCTTTAAGCAGAGCATCGCAAGACACGAACACTACCTCGCCCATGTCATCGATATCAAGAAGGGTATGAAGGTGCTGGACGTTGGCTGCGGTGTGGGCGGACCTGCTCGGGAGATTGCCAAGTTCACGGGGGCGTACATCACTGGTCTCAACATCAACGAGTACCAGGTGGAACGGGCCACGAGATATGCCGTGAAATCAAAGTTGGATAAGCAGCTCCAATTCGTCCAAGGTGACTTCATGGTATGAAACTTCACTTTCAACAAAACACACCTGCAACCGCCACTGATAACAAATGTTTCACAGAGAATCCCCTTCGAAGACAACACCTTTGACGCGGTCTACGCTATCGAGGCCACAGTCCACGCCCCGTCCCTGCAAGACGTGTACTCCGAAATCTTCAGAGTCCTCAAGCCCGGCGGCGTCTTTGGCGTCTACGAATGGGTCATGACGGAAAAGTACGACAACGAAGATCTCCGTCTGCGCAAGATCCGCATCGACATCGAACAAGGAGACGGCATCGCAAATATGGTCAAGGCATCCGAAGCCGTGCGCGCCTTCCAGGCAGCCGGGTTCGAGATGATCCAAAACGAAGACATGGCCGAACGACCAGATCCGAGCCCGTGGTATTGGCCGTTGGACGCGGGTAGCTGGAGACACGCGCAGACGATGGGCGACTTGCTCTACACCTTCCGCATGACTGGGCTGGGACGGGCGTTCACGCATGGATTCCTTGGACTTATGGAGACTTTGAGACTTGCACCTCCTGGGATGATGAAGATGTCGGACAGCCTTTGTGTTGCCGCTGATGCGCTTGTTCTTGGTGGGAAGGAGAAGATTTTCACACCCATGTACCTGATGGTTGGACGCAAGCCCGCGGAATAAGAGTAGGCATTTGCCAAGTCATATCATTTTCTCACTTCCTCTTGTAGCAAATTTAGACATAGATAGATAGACCTTTTAACTCGGCAAGCTTATAGTACCGACTTTATGGCAAGCTGTGTCAACCTTCTTCCATCCGATAGACGCCATGGGAATGAATGCTTCGAATAGAACCATGGTAGGGAGCAGAGAAAGGCAAGGAGTAGCCAAATAAAGCCAAAAAGGCAAACGCAAAAGTAACTACAGCTTAAGAGAGCAAAAGAATGGACGATCTGGGAATCGAACCCAGGACCTACCGCATGCTAAGCGGTCATTATACCACTAAACCAATCGCCCACGATGATCTAGCCCGGACTTGAACCGGAGACCTTCAGTGTGCTCAGTTCGAGTTGCCTCAAACCTGTTAGACTGACGTGATAACCAACTACACCACCAGACCATTTGAATTATTGAAAGGGTAGACGAGAATTGTGTAATAGGAATCGTTGGAGTGGGGGACAGAGGATGTGTGGGATTTGAGTCGTGAAGCGAGGGAGGCAAGCCCTGGTGGGGCCGTGTCGGCGGGGCGGAGTCTAGACCGGCTGTCGGGCCGGAGCTGAGGTCCCGAAGCAGACGGGTTTGGCCGAAAGGGCTGAAGTGAGACCGTAAGCGCCTTGAAAGCCCCTTGCGTAAAGTTCTCTGCATGTGGGAAGAATGTATGGAACAATTTTTTTCGAGACAATAACCGAGTTGTCTCAAAAGCCTTCGAGACTCTCCTGGAAATCGTTGAGAGATATCATGATTATGGGCTGATAGAGAATCAACCGGATTCTTGAGCTCGACCAGGATGCAGAGAGTGTGGCCCACTTCCTGGAATAACGAGCACGTGAATCAAGAGGAATCGGTTGGCCAGACGCAGTGTCACTCGACAACGTGGTTCATGGAAGAATCTGGACAAGGGCTCCGCGTGGCTTGTATTCCCGAACGCCTCCGAATTCAAAAAACGACAGGATGATTGAGTCTGACAGCGTCATCGGAGACTCAGCGCCAGATTCATGAATTTCGCAGGCTGGTTCAGCCTGGGCGTCACGGCATCGCATATGCGCCCTGCATTATGTGCATTTCGTGAGGGGTAATATTTCTCTAGTCTCCGGAGTAATGTTCAAAAGTCTAGGCATCAGACTTCGGACAGCAAGACGCGAACATTACCCTGGGCAATGCAAGAAGTGTGCAAGCTCAATCCGTATATCACTGCTTTCTCCCAGCAATTGAAACTCCACACAAAGGTCGTTGGACCATTCATATGGTTCCCGATCGGGGCCACCTGGAGTCTCTTTTTGACTTCCGGGAAGTCCATAAGCTTATTCCACGGGATGATGGATCTTACCAACGTCACATATTCTTGTTGCATTGAAGCAAGGTTTACCCCATCTTCCGCAGATTAGGCTTTAATATCAGTCAACTGCATTTCCCACCTGTCCCTGCAGCCTGCCCTATCGCACCTGCAGATACCCTCTAATAACCCCCATTACGCACCATCATCTCAGGCAAAATGCTCTCCATTTCGTTTGATTTTCAGCAGATGGAGTCATTCTTGGCTGCGTCCAACACCTTGTCTTTCCCAACAGGCAAATGCTCTGCAACAACCCGTGCCATTTCTGCTGCATCCCATCAAGGCCCGGAGTCTCCATTTTCCACCACTGGCAGCGGAGCGCCATCGCTAGCCGGATCTTGGCATAGCCTTTCCGTGGTTGTGTGACTTGGCCAAGATTCTCGACCTGGTATCTTGAGTGATTATCATTGGTGACGGCTTCTGCAATTTCTGCAAGGCATACAGGGTTCTACGCATGCTCGTGGTAAAATGTTCATGACGTTAATAGAATCCCGGAATAGCTACAGATCCAATGGCTTTGAGGTTCGCGCTCGAGGCTCGGTTCGGGGTATGGAGGGACGTCGATTTCCCACCAGGTCATGAGCTCATAGCTGCAATGGATTGTGTATAAGTAGGACCAGGCACTGACCTTTAAACTTAATGAACCATTCCTGTGGATAACGCGGTTTACCGTCAGTTCTAATCGTTCCTCAGTCTGCGCGGTTCTCTGTTCTTCTTTTCCGGCCCCGGTTCCTTCTCAAGACGATTGCCATCATGAGAGTCAACGTCCCGGTAATTTTGTGCGCCTTCATGGGCTTGTCTACAGCCAATCCCCTCGACTGGCTCGGCCTTGCCTCCTGGGAAGTTGAAGGCTTCGCCAAAGACAACCCAATTGGCAAGACTACAGGAGGCAAAGGAGGCCCAACTGTAACAGTCTCAAGTGTTGCCGAGCTCCAGACCGCGGTGACTGGCAGTGATCCCAAGATCGTGGTCCTGAAGGGCGAATTCGTTTTGCCTGCACGCCTCAATATCGGATCAAACAAGAGCTTGGTTGGCTACAAGAACACAGCACACATTACCGGCAAGGGACTCAATGTCTACAACGCAACCAACGTTATCTTGCAGAATCTAAAGATCAGTCACATCCTGGACAATGACTGCATTACGATCCGTAACTCTACTAGGGTCTGGGTGGACCACAACGAATTCACCTCAGATATCACCAAAGGCCCGGACTTCTATGCAAGTAGATTTTTTCCGCATGGGCTTTCTGATTGAGAATGTTGCTAACTTAACTTCAATGGAACAGGACGGTCAGGTTGATATCATCCGAGCCTCGGACTGGATCACCGTTTCCTGGAACTATTTCCACGATCACTGGAAGTCATCCCTTGTTGGGAACGATGCCACATTCCGCGATCTCGACTTTGGCCATCTTCACGTCACATACCACCACAATTACTTGAAAAACGAAGGCACTCGTGGGCCTGCCGGGCGCTTCGGGCACCAACATATCTACAGCAACCTTTACGAAGACTTCCTCTACCAGGCCATCCACTCTCGCTCCGACAACCAGGTTCTGGTCGAGGGCAATGTCTTCCGTGGAAACACTCGTGAGGCGCTCAGCACTTACGGCCTCGTCATCCCCAATGATTCGCCAAACACTTGTGTCTGTGGTGACGAGGAATTGGATGGCTTTGCTAATCTTGGTGCACGTAAGGATTTACTTGTCCCGTCACTTGTTCGTGTCCATCTTAGGACATGCTAACATGGTAATAGCCAATGACTGGGGAAAAGCTGGTGTCAACATCACCCAAAAGGGTACCTTCTACAAGGCGCCCTACCAATTTAAGCTTACTCCTTTGCCTTTGGTAGCACCCATAGTCAAACTTGGGGCAGGGATTGGCAGGATTTGAAGTACCAGACCCGATAGAGTGAGAGCCATACAAGTACACAGAGTATAATCCAGGAAAATCAGAAAAGATTGTGGTGTGTGGCTGTTATTATGTTGGCGCGGGATCTTGGGTGACAGATCGCATCGATTCGCTTCTTTGAGCTTAGGCGGACGTTTGTGTCATCGCAAGTTGTTATCAGACGGCAACCACAACAGCCACACTAACACCGACTATGGGTGTGGCCAGTGCGACCACATACATTCTCCATGGAACAACAAGCATAGAACTATAGGGAATTGATTTTGTCGAGTATTGACTGATAAGAGCGGCGCTATAGACGCGCCTAGCACAAACGCAAGAGGTGTCACTGCGAAGGACCATGTCTCCAACCCCCAGACTTCACAAGACCATGGAAGCCAGCTCCAAGTCCGAGACGAACCATACCATCTCCCACAAGATTAGAAGCGTAACTTCTCTACATTGTTCAACAAAAAGTTGAAGCTGTCCTGTCTGAAGTCATCATCTATTAAATCCGCACTCTTGGCCATCATGTGAAGCATTTTGTTCCCGTCTTTCCATTTGGGCCAGTGAATTAACTTCACCTGAGCCTTTCCCGTGCCTCCAGAAGAGTCGTTGGGGTCCAGATTGTAAGCAAAGTTGAAGTAGTACGCCCGCGTCGCCGAAGCAGCGTAGTTCGGCTTGATCCCGTAAAATACCTGGAGAAGGTCCGATCCGTGAAATGTTCCGAGGACAGGAGTACCGTAGTCGTAGCTGGCAAGGTAGCTCCAGGTGTTGACTTCGGGTTGGACTGTTTGAGAGATGTTGAATACAGCTCGACGGGTAAGAGTGAAGACTGTGTCACCTAAAATGGCAGCCAACCTCTTGAATTGGGGTCTCACTTCGTTGAAACCTGCGGTTCTGAACGGCGATCCTTCAGAAGGGCGGGCAGCGTAAGTGCCTACTAGTTCCTTGATTTGCTGTGGGGAGGCATTGTTGAAGTAGAGTTCACCGAGATATTCTTCAACTTCTCGAGTCCTGGTGATATTCGGTTGGAACAAAGCGAAAAGAGTGCCTTCGTCTTCTTGATCTCCTAAAATGAAGGGCACCTTGGGTAACTTCCCAGAAGTTGCGAATACCTCTGGGCTTGACACTATATTCTTCCCATCAGGTCTCGGAAGGTAGGAAAGAGCCACTGAGCTGTAACTCAGAAGGCCTGGTACGGAGTTTGCAGCTTTCCGCATGTCCTAGCCGCATACGTCAGCCATTACCTTCAAAGATAGAGGTAAACGAGATAGTCTTACATCGTAAGAGAGGTCTCGTAGGCACTTCAAACGATCAGGTGCTCCACCACATCCGGCAGCAGACAGGACCGTATCATAAACCTTCGTGGCTTTCGGGGAGTCCATTGGGTCAGTCGGAACAGCAGATCCCGAGTTCATTATGGCGCCGCGGAAGAGGGCTTTGCCATTGCGTGTGATGTTGCCGTTGTAGAGCGAGAGTTGACTGAAGATCGATATAGCACCGGCCGACTCTCCCCAGAGAGTGACCTTGTCCGGGTCGCCACTGGACGTCAAGTAGTCAACATCTTTGATCTCTTCTTTCTGGCTCGTAGGACTTCGAGACTTACCCAAAGCTCGCAATGTTATCTTGGACCCATTCCAGTCCCATCCTTTGGTCCAGAAGACCAGCATTAGAGCTACCCTCCTGCATGAGGTCCTTGCCTGGCATAAATCCCCAAGCACCCACACGATAGTTGACTGCCACGAAAATAAACGGCTTACCCGTAGACATTCCTTCTTCGATGAGTCCAGCTCCGTTGTACATGGAGGTGCTACCTAGTTCGAACCCGCCGCCAAAGATCCAATACATCACCGGTAGCTTATCTCCCTCTTTGGTCCCAGCGGGACGTTGCACATTAATAGTGAGACAGTCCTCTTGCCCAACGGCTAGATTCTTGAGAATGGGTAGATTAAGTACTTTGTCGAGAAGGTCTGGAGGGATGAGAGGCGAGCCAAAATCAGGTTGTAGGATGAACTGCGGGCATGACTCTGGTTGTTCTGTAGTGGCATCGACTTCGCCCATGGTTTCGGTAAGACGTACAGGCGGCTTGAACCTCAACTCCCCGACGGGAGGTTTGGCAAATGGGATTCCATTGAATGATTCAACTTCACCAGCCTTGGCTCCGAGAAACCCCTTCGTTGTGCCTTTCAGGTTTGCTTGAGGTGCCTTGATGGTGACTCGGGGGGTTCCGCCGCCCCCTTGCTGCGGTGCAGCCCATGTCTGAGCACATAGGGAGACGAAGACCAGCGTCGAGATAATCATGATGAGGGGGCAAAATAATGAAAAAACTGAGAAAGGCTCATTCAGTTTGTTCTGAACCTTCAACTAGGACAAGTCCATCAATCCAAATGGGGTTGTGGCGACAGCGTGGGATCGATATATGACGCGAGAGTCATTCTGTCCAAGGCTCGTCTTCGGAATGAATGGAAAGGCAATGACCTCATTACGATCGATGAACCAAGATCCCATCGCTGCCGTCTGGGTTTGTCCAATGAGCTTATTTCCAGATGAACCAGGGAGCGCCGCGCGGGAGGTAGCGATATGGCGGACGCTGTGGGTGATTCTTCGCATCGCATGGCCCGAAACGGAAGTGTTCCTATATTTTGACAGCATGTCAAGGTTGATACTACTTCTTGAATCTCTCAAGAACTGCAGCAAGGAGCTCTCCCTACAGTCGGACCCTATGAGTGGAAGCACGTTTCTTTCCACCCTCGGCAGCGAGATCACATATGATGGGTCGGCAGGTGTCATGCGATTATGCTTTCAGATGGCTGCGACTTGAGATACGACCCTGGATGAATGAGAAGTGTATTGCCAGCGGGGGAAAGAACAGCAAGAGCTCAAATCGGCCTGTTGCCTGCATCGCCTACGTTGGAGGTCATGTTGGTTAGGGTCCGGTCGCCGAATCAGGCAAAAATTCATGTTCTGCGACGGTCTGTGTTGCGAGGATTTGAGGGAGATCAGACGAAGACCGCTTCAGCCAATCTAGGGTCCGAATCTTCATACCTTCGAATTCGTGTTCGGCACCGTAATTCAAGGTAGTACTGGGAGACAGATCTCGGGGAGCGCTGATAGCTTGACCGAAGCTTCGTCGATGTCTTGGAAGAGTCAATCGTTGCCAGCTTCCGGGGAGATGCTGGACAACTTATGCACACTGGATGCTATACAGACTCATTTTGAGGAGGCTAAATGAAAGATCCGATTGGCTCTACTTTAAATATTGTTCAAAGGCTAGCTAGATCCTTCCCCGCGCGGCCGACTTACGCATGTCCCGAGATGGCCTTGGGTTGATACAGTTCCTCAAGGTACTTCTCCTCCTCATCGGTTAGGACTTTGCCATCAGCAGTGATTGCTTGGTCGATTCTCTCAACGCTACTAAAGCCAATGATGGGGCTCGTGATTCGTTTGTTGATCCATGCAAGAGCCACGTGGGACATGGGCCAGTCCCGCTTCTCCGCGATCTCCTGAACTCGCTTGATGATGGTGAGGTCCGGCTCTACTGTTCCATGGCTTCCAGGCTGACCCTCCTTCTCTGTCTTGCTGCGGGAGGTGGAGCCGAAGTCCTTCGGTGGTCGGGCTAGGTGGCCACGGCCTGGTTGATGTCATCGATTAGCATGAGCCGAATCCGGATGTGAAGGTCATTGACTTACAAAGAGGAGCCCATGGAATGAGTCCGACTCCAGTGTCGTCACAGAATCGGTTCATCTCCCTCTCTTCTTCGCGATACAACAGATTGTACTGGTTCTGCATGCTCACGAATTTCGTCCAGCCATTCTTCTCGGCAGTGAACTGCATCTGGGCAAACTGAGTACCCCACATGCTGCTGGCACCGATATACCGAACCTTTCCTGTCTGCACCAAATCATGCAGCGCCTTCATCGTCTCTTCTACGGGTGTTCTGGGATCGAACCTATGGATCTGGAGAAGGTCGATGTACGGGGTGTCCAGCCTCTTCAGTGATGCCTCTACCTGGTTGAAGATAGAAGCTCTGGATAAACCCCATTGGTTCTGGTAGTCCTTCGACTTGTTGATCTCCTCGCGGAAGTTGAAGTGACGAGTCTCTGCAAAGTGAGTAGGTCATCAGCAATGCGACCCATGATTGTCACAGCCTACCAAATAACGTACCAGGCTCTTCGCCGACAGCGAAGAAACACTTGGTCAGAATGACCACCTTCTCGCGGGGGATGTTGTATTTCTTTAGCGCCTTGCCAATCGTCCGCTCGGATGCGCCATTAGAGTATACGTTGGCGGTATCCCAAGTGTTCAATCCCCGATCGTAAGCCGCCTTTAGCAGCGGAAGTGCCTATATCACAGTCTTAGCCACGCTAGTCCATGATCATGGCATATGTGTACCAAGGAAAGTCGGTTCAGTATACCTCATCCTCATCTAGAGCCCAGCCAATGGTGCGTGAGTCTCCAAAACTCATACAGCCAAAGACGGGAACTGAAACACGCAATCCGGACTTTCCGAGCTGGCGGTATTCGACCTTTGTGCTCTCGATGCCTTCCTTCAGGCGTGCTGGGAGCTCCTTAGATGCCATTGTTGCGAGTTGCGCTGAGTACTTGATGAATAAGACGTTGTAAGGGGAAATATGATCTGCTGAGACCGGCTAGCAGGCAATTTATTGGCGAAATAGATATGGCTGGTTGTAAAGGGTAGAGAGGTGGTCTAAATAGTAGCTAGATTAACGGCGCAAACGTCATCAAGCCCGATCGCGACATACTTTGGAGGGGTCACAGCGCGGGTCAGTGATGGAACCGAAAGGCGAAGAGCTACCCCGCACTGCGCTGATCACTGGCCTACCTCTCAAAGCCCACCAATTGTTGGTGCAGCTTGCTGACCATCAGAGCATTTGTGATTCGGAATTAGCTCTTAAGGTGAGCTTGAGCTGTGGTCAATTATGCAAGGGCAATGCTTTCAATGGCTGACCCGGAGTAAGCTCCTTTACCCCTGATTTGGA